AAAGGTAGTAACCCTCATCACACGAAAAAGTCCTTTGGATATGGACTTGAAAATCTCTGACTTACAATGGTACAGACCAAGAAATGGAAATTGAAATTGAAATTAGGCCGGATGGTTTTTTTTTAGCTGGTATAGATGTGTTAGCTGATTTCCAATGCTGTAAATTTCTATGAAGATAATCTTTCCAGCTGTTTGGTAGTTCACCCAAGTAGTCATTTTTCTCATAATTGTGCTAGAATGTGACTATCAGAAGGGTTTTCAACACCGAAGTGCATCACAGTGGACAGAAGTTTGTCTTTTAAGTGACACAGTGGCTCTGTGGTTAACACTACTGGCTCACAGCACCAGGACCTGGGTTTAATTCCACGTTCAGGTGACTGTCTGTGTGGAGTTTGCACATTCTCCCCATGTCTGCTTGGGTTTCCTCCGGGTGCTCAGTTTCCTCCCATAGTCCAAAGATGTGCAGGTTAGGTTGACTGGCCGTGCTAAATTGCCCCATAGTATCCACAGATGTGTAGGTTAGTCATGATAAATGCAGGTTTACAGGGATAGCATAGTGGGATAGGTCTGGGTGGGATGCTGTTCACTTGGTCAATAAGGACGCGATAGGCTGAATGGCCTGCTGCCGCACTGTAGGGATTCTATGATTTTACATAAAATCTATATTAAAACTTTTTTTTCCAGAATCCTTTAATGATCAGATGTAGGAAAACTAATTCACAATTACTGAGACAGATTGTGGTGGTGTCCATGCACTGTTGTGGGTCAAATCAGCACAAACCAATGACTGCATCTTGGACTGGTGCCTTGCAGATAATTTTAATCATGTCTATAATGCAGAAACCATCTAGATAGCAGAAGAACATTAAAATTAATAACTGCTTATATATCCATATGTGGAAATCACAATATTTCAATGTTAATGCTCAATTTCAAATTTCCACCAATAAATATTCCCACTTTTAAACAGCTTCCTTTTAATACAACATGAAACATATGAAATTCTACAAACAGATTTTGGAATTGAAAATAAGAGAGAGTGGCGTACAAATAGATAAATGCGTGTTGTTTCTGAGAGGTACAGTTCCTACAGTAAGATAAAAATACAGGAAGGAAATTAATTGGTGATAAAACTGAAGAGGAAATGTCCAGTTATTGTCCTCCATTGCAATAATAGTTGATATCACTATGAATTATAATTAGAGGAAGAATAGAATGATTGAATGCCAGAATACATGTACTGCAAAGAAGAAAAAACCCAGGAAGAGAGACCTGGTTGCTTCAGAGTAAGTACAAATCGAGGAAAAACCCATATTGATGAATGGTGAAGGGATCGGCACCGGCACCAACTCTGCTGCATTTATAATATTTTCACTCCTTCAGTCAACAAACATTTTTCCCATGCTATCAATAAAAACGTCATGGGATGCATTGTGCAATTTAACAAGGCCTAGGAAAGCTTTGGGTTTCAGAATGATATTTCACAAAATTAAACAAAAAGATTGATCAGCTGCATGTACTATATTTTAAAAGACCAGCCGTGATCAGTGCCTCGTTCTGGTATATTCATGAAAAGAGATTTTGGAATGTGGTAAAATGACTTACCAGTATTTAATACGAGTCAATGCTTATTATCAAGCATGATATCTCTTTCCTGCATTGATGATATCAGCTCAAACCTTCAAAGGTGATTCACTAATCCTTTAAACCAATTGATCTGGACATATAATTTGACAGATTATTATACTTAATTCCAGGGATGGGTTCAGCTCAGTTTCCTGGATGGCTGGCTTGCAATGCAGAGCAATACCAACACTGTGTGTTCAACTCTACAATGGCTAAGGTTACCATGAAGGGTTCTCCTTCTTAATCTCTCCCCTCATGTGACATATGACTCTCAGGTTAAACCACCACCTGTTGTCTCTCTGAGAGAGCAGCCCTATGGTCTGCTAAGACAACAGCTACATTATCTTGTACTTAATTCCAGGAGAAGTGTCAATATTGTATCAGGTAAACTACAATAATATAGTTTGAATCAAATTAGCAGTACTGTAGTGAGGTCAGCATGGGCTTTGGGAAACATAGTCTTTCTCCTGGCCCTGCTTTTTCATTGCACAGGCAAGTTAGCAAGTTAGTGCAAAATGCAGCCCTAAATGTCATTATACGTTATTTGAGACTAACTGTGTGACTCAGGTGGTTTTATGTCACTTTCGCCTTTGTTTGTTCCCATGAGCAAAGTGGAATTATTGAAATTTGTCCAGATATAGCTGGAATCTCTACTTTTCCACATTTAGCTGTACTAAATTAATAGTGCATTAATGGCCATGGTCAGCAGGTATCAGAAACAATCCAATGGCAGCTTAGCAATTTCCTGTGAGATTACTCTGAAAATAAACCTTCTCAAAAACAACTGCAGATTTTGGAAATCTAAAATAGAAGCAGAAAAAGTGCTAGAATCTCATCAAAAGTCAGCAGCTGTGTATAAGGCAAATGACTTAACATTTGATGATGAGTTAAAGTTTTCAGAGATTGGGGTGGAGTGGACCATTCACCAATTTGAGGTCCAAAACTTAAACCTTAATCCATTTATTCTTTTCACACCTGTTGACTTATCTACTATTCCCAACATTTTCCATTTTTGTGTAAGTTTATTCTGAAATTGTCAATTTTATGAAATCCATGAAATGGGAGCATAGCATTTAGCCCACTATAAAAAATTATACGAAGTCTAAACTCAACCAAGTTGAGAGAAAGAATTGCAAGAATCCAGTTGCTTCTGCAATTAATAATTCAAGCTAGGCACCATTCTGTGCTGTAACCCCTGCACCTGCCAAGCTGTGGGGCACAACTATGCCCACTGACAATACAGTGGAGAATATGACACTCCATAATGACAGTCTGGCACTTTTAATGTTAACATTTTAAAACTTCTCTTCAAAGGGCACATCCATCATTAGGATGATGGGGTTGTCAGATGGTTATTGCTGGAAGGTCCCAAATTGGCACTCCAGCATCAGGAACCCACCTGTCATCAATAAATGGATGGAAACCTTGCATCTTGGCGATGCTTGCCAACATGTACTGGCACAATGCAGGTTGAGATCCGAAAATTCTAGCCCCAAAACAAAAACAGTCATCGGCGATTTTGCCATCTGTAAACTCATTAATTTGATGGTGAAAACCATCAGCTACAGTCAAATGAGGTTAGGATTGCCAACAGGAGTCAGGCTGCCTTTAATCAATCTAATAATAAGTATTAATTAAATTAATGCAAGAAAGTTTTTTGCTTCTTTTAAATATTTCATCATTTGGTTAGCTGAGTGTGCTAATGAAAACCTGAGTCGAATTTTTGTTATTCTTACATAGAGTGCACATTTTCCTCAAATTTAAACAAAACCCATTTAAGAAAGTCCATAGAATTATGTAACATGGTTACCGGAGCAAGGGCTTAGGACCATGTGGCAGAGTACTGTTGCATTCTGAGTGGAAATTCAGAATTCAGTTATCATGCTTGACCTTCAATAGCTGTTCAGTTCCTTGAAAATTGGAAGAAGGGTAAAAATGATGATAGAAATAGATATATTGGTCTATTTCCTCTTACTACAGATTTTAAGTGTTTTCTTTTCACACTTCAAACCCGAGGAAAATAAGCCTGTATGTAATCAGACATTTATCTCACAGTATCTCACTGTTTGGCCTTTTAACCTAGGCAGTTAGTCGCAACAGGCTACTTGTCAACTGAGGGAATTATTGTTGAGCTAAAAGCATCATCATCTGACAGCCACACAGGCTGATTTTCTTGCTTGGTCAACTGAATTGCAATCAGACAAGAGTATATTTTTCTTCTTCCTCTCCTGGAAGTGCTGACACTCATCATACTCATGAGATCAACTTGGTCAGCACAGTTCAAGGAGCAAATCTCAGAAGGTCTTGTATGCCTCATTTGCCAGTGCATTTACATGCCAGATTCTTTGGACAATTCCTATTTGGAACATGATGGGAAAACAGAGATATGAATTATATTGGTGGACACAGGACAGATGTCACGATATCTTTTACTTAGGCAGCAAAGAAACTGTCATCATTGTGGATGACCAGGCAATAGAAAAAATGAAACAAACAAAAATAAAGGTGTGGCTTGGAATTCTATGGTAACATATATCTTGGATTTTGTTTGCTTAAGTAGAAGTTGGTGTTTTAAAATTAACAGACTTTCTGGCAGCTTCACTAAATTAGTAAGGTTAAGTTTAGAATTATGTAGGGTCAATAAAAATATAAATTCAAACAGTTGATATATGCAATAATTAGAACCATGAACATGCGTTGTATGCATGAAAAGTAAAACTTTCTTGAAATATCAATTAAACTGAAAAAAATGTTAAGCGACGCTTGTTTACGAGAATATTCACTAAACATTTTACAACCAAAGAAATGAAAAATAATTTTCAAAAACTTAATATGAAAAGTCAAAATATTGCACTAATGAAGCCTCAGTTGTTGTTCATATCTCTATTGAGACTAGATAAAGAAACTAATCAAATTCTGTTAATGCTAAAATGATGCTTTCCCATTTATGTTTATACAATTCATTTCTCAAGTCTAAGCCCAACTGACAATGGAGACAGGTGTGTTCAAAATGCAAGCTAGCACATGATCTCTTGAAAACTACCTGGCACTTGTTTAGTAACATAATGGAGCAGCACTATCAGGTTTGTGAAAGGAAATATGGCTGTAAATCCTGACTCAGAGTGCAGGCTAATATCTAAGTCAGCATGATGACTTATTAATCTGATTTTAGTCCCTATTTTGTTTAATAAGACTACACTGCTGCTATTGAGGTTTAATTACCTTATAGTCATAGCACTGAAGAGCAAAAACATTTTTACTATTTCAGAAGTGGTAAAGAACAATAGCTTATGAATTTTATCCTATAAAAATATTCATAATGGAGTGAGTGAAGCTATAAATTGATGATGTTTAATAATTTTTTATGGATGAATATGTTTTTGCAACTTCTGACTGAATTCATGGGATATATTTTAGGTAAATCATGGAAAGCTCTCACTCCTTCACAGAAGAGGCCTTTTGTAGAAGAAGCTGAAAGATTACGAGTCCAGCATATGCAAGATCATCCCAATTACAAATACAGGCCTCGGAGGAAAAAACAGATCAAACGTCTCTGCAAACGTGTAGATCCAAGCTTCCTGCTCACCAGCTTCCCCCATGATCAGCCTCCTGTCCGCAGTGGAAGAATGTGCAGGGGACCTCTGGAGGAGGAAGAGGATAAAGGCTATCCACCAGCCTCAAGACTTCCTGCAATCAGCAGATTCAGGGAAACACAGACAACAAACAACAGCTTGGACAATTATGGGCTACCCACTCCTGAGATGTCCCCTTTAGATGTGATTGATGCTGATCACAGTTTCTTTCCACCTCAGTGTACAGAAGATTCTCCTCCTCAGATGAATGGAGTAATGTATCATTCAGACTACAGACAAAGCCCTATCCAATGTGGACACCTCAGTCAGATTTCAGTTCCACAGAATAGATCTACCATGATGCACTCTGCAGCCAGCCAACCTCCACCGCCTTCTTATTATAACCAGATCCAGCAGTCTGCTCCCCAGTCCATGAACTTGAGCACATCAGTTCATCTTTCTCCTCCCCATGACCACCATCACCTAGATAATCTGGAACATATCACCCAAGCTGAGCTTTTAGGAGAAGTGGACCGAAATGAGTTTGATCAGTATTTGAACACCTCTAGTCATCTAAATCAAGCAGGAATTAATTCACATCTACCTGACATCTGTTCACCAGGAGGCACAAATTCAGAGAGGAGCCTTATATCTGTATTAGCGGATGCTACTGCAGCCTATTACAATAGCTACAGTAGCTCCTAGAGCAAACAAATAGACGTGTACTTTTTTAAAAATAACAACAGTATTATTTACAAATATCTCTGGGCATGAAAATATCCTCAGGGTAGTAAAATACAGTCGTCATGCTTTTTCATAAATGATGACCAGCATATTTATATTGGCTTGAAGTAATTGTTGCAACACTTGTAAAATAAGATATAAAGTTGCTTGCTATTTGGACTGCTTGTTTTCCAAACATTAGGCTGAAATGTTTGTGCTTGTTAAGAGTTTGCAAGAGATATATCTAAATCCCAGTGATTGCTTCGCTTTTTTTTCTGTTTGGTTGTTATATGCCTTCTCATTTCAAATGTCTGCATCATCTTCTATTGAATTGAGAAAATTTAACTGATCTGAACTGACTGATCCAATACTGAATGAATTATTATGTTTTAAATCTAATAAACATATCATGAGATACTGATTGCAGTTTTATTTTTAATTTTCTGAACATTCATAAATATCCACATCCAATGAAAATGTTACCATATTTGGCCAGATTTAATTATTAATCATAGCTATCAGAGCATTGCTGCCATTTTAGAAATGGCATTTGCCCATTTGGGATCTGTGAAGAAAGCATCAATTATGATTCAGCTGAACAATTCTGCATAATGAAAGCTTGCAATAGCGGGCACATTTTAACAAGTAAGTTCTACAGTTCCCCCATGTGGCAAGTTATTCACTTAATCCAATTTGTTGAGAAGTGACGTTCTGCCACAAAAAGAGAGAAAGTTCAAGTAAGAATTTAAATCCTCCAGCACTGCTTCCATTGGCAGGAGTATGAAGGCATGATGTCAGGGGCATGTAGTGAATTGTGTGGGGCAATGAGGATAACCTAACAATCAAAATGCAAAACTAAATTCTTTACAGTGTGGAGTATGGTACATCTGTAGTATAGTACATCTCTGAATTTCTCAAAAGTTATCCCATTTTTACTTTTAAATATTTGGTTTAAATTTCTCCAAACCTATTCTACAGCTTTCTGTTCTCTAATAGAAACAGGAATTGCTGCAAGTTCATAATAAGATCATTAAAATGTGAAGACAGAAGGCCAGTTAACAGTTACTTGCATGCCCTTCCTCATGAAGAATAAGGAAAGAGGAGAGAGGAAGAAGTAGGGCACCATTTAGTATGTGGAATGAACAGAAAAATATTTTTATTTAGCATATTTTAGGTTGTTTTGAATCTGGGCTTATGTCTTATGAGCTTATGGATATCCAGAAAGTGTCAAAAATGAAGTAGGCAATACTAAAAGGTAAGAATCATGTCTTTTTTGAAGTTTTTGGGTGTGTGCCAATGCAGAAACTCTCTTTTATACAGATGACAAGAGTATTAGGTTTGTGAGCACCAGCTGTTCTCAAAGCAAGCTTCCTTCCAGCGCACATGCTGCTGCTTCACACTTTGCTATCACTTAAGATAATTTGGTTAAAATGGTAAACAAGTCACAAATGATGAAAATCTGAAATACAATTGGAACTGAATCAAACAAAATGAGGGATGAATGGGAACTGAAGAGTTTCAAAGTACAGTCATTGGACCTAAAACATTAACTCTGTTTCTCTCTCCACAGATGCTGCCAGATCTGCTGAATTTCACTAGCATTTTCTGTTTTCATTAAAGTTGATAAAAATATGTTTATATAGAGAAAGTATACAGAGTTCAAAGTCCAGCTAATCGGGATGAGAACAAGTTCAGCCAGATAGAGGTGAATAGTGGATGAGGAATGTTTGGGAAGGAAGCAGAGATCCTGGAGGCCACCCTGAAGAGGCAAGGAGATAATTAAATCCAACGAACCTGGCATCATTGAAACAGTGCAGAATATGAGGACTAGAGTGAACAACATACTGTAGTGTAAATACTCTTTTTGTTTCGGCCAGTGGCTGTGACAGGCATTATAGCTTTATAAGTGATTCTTAAGAAGGTTAACTCAAACAGTGAGATGTACCAGACACATCCCTGCTTTCCATCCAGCAGTTGGTTGCTGCTTTCTCTTTATTGCAATTTTGGAGCATTCATTTACAAGTTTTTTTTTTTCGCTGGCTTGGAATGTTTAAAAACATTGCGCAACAACAGTACACTCTCCCTAAACCATTGCTGTGTTTCCATTATGCTAAAGTTTGTCATTTACGTGTGTACGCACCATTTTAATAGATAACCAATAAGTTGTTTTTCCCAAATGTACATTATTCATAAACTTTGTAAACATACACAAAGCATTTCAGCTTGAGTATTACAATATTCAAGGGAGGCAATTGCTTAGTGGCATTATTGCTGGACTGTTAATCTAGAGATCCATATAATGCTCTGGGGATCTGGGTATGAATCATGCTGTGGCAAATGGTAGAATTTGAATTCAATTTGAAATCTGAAGTCAGGAGTCTAATGATGACCATGAATCCAATGCCAACTGTTGGGAAGGCAACTGACCTCCTTGTCTGCTATGGCCTACATGGTTGACTCTTAACTGGCTTCTGGGCAATTAGGGATAGGCAATAAATGCTGAGCTAGCTAATGATGCCCTCATCCCATGAATGAATTAAAAAAGTTTTCAGGAACATTCAACTTGCATCCATAAAATACACTCTATGCAATATGATTGTAACACCCTTTTTTTTGCAGGTATACAAATCAGGTATACAGCCCGAAAGCAAAAGCACTTCAAATTGAAAATTGCAGAAAGTGCAATGTGTACAAATTTCTCTATGCAACGTGTTTCACCTGGAGGTGCTTCATTACATTTTCAATACCCTTGATTTACATTGTACATGATACGTAAAGCATGCTATCAGAGGAGTATTACATTTTCCAGCCCCTCAGTATATTGAATGGCTGAAAAGCACCAGGCAATTACCTTTCCCTATAATGCCTCTGTCCATGCTTTAATATGTTCCTCAGAATGTAATTCTGCACTGTGGAATGTGCTGATCTGCCACAAGCTGTCAAGGACAACTCCTTGCATTGGAAAACCAGCAAATTTCAGACAGAGCAAAGAACTTCTTTTATTGACGCTTTGCGATGGAGAAATCTGTGCTCTTCAGGATATTTCCAGGCATATTTGTCTCTGGGAATGTCCTGTAGAGCACAGATTCCTCCATTGCAAAGCTGCTCCAGATGAACCTTGACAAAATATGTCACATTTCCCTCATGAACTTGGAAAGTAAGGATGTAAGGGAAACATAATGATCAAAGAACACATTCTGCTGATTGTTGTAATATTTTACCAACAAACACAAACGGGTCAAAATAAATATGCTTACTGTCTATAGATATGAATAGTGAAATTATGAGCTGAATTTTAATGTTCTGACCTGCTCACAGTGGGATCAGTGTGTAAGAGTAGGATCACAGTGGGGCAGTGTATCAGAGAAACGGTGTTTGAGCAGTGTGTTTGTCATTATCTTTTCAATCCAGTCATTACATTTGTGCCAGACTTCCAAGTTTTCCCAGCAATCAAAGCATGTGGGTCTGATGATGATCTGTAGTCCATTCCAGCTGAGCACTTTATGGAACCATGTAAAAATTAGAGTTGAAGCATAGTGAAAATCTTCGGACAGAGCCCAAAGCTACAGGAATAGAGACACGAACTGTCGCAGCAGCACCATGTTTCAGCAATACAGTTTCTGACATGATGCTTTGGGCTTTCAGATTCTGTTCCTTGTGAATTGGAGGAAGAGGCCTGCCTCTGAAAACCAGCAGCTTGAAAGTGGCTGAAGGGGTGAACAGTAGAAGTGTTGTTCCAAACTCTTTGATATGGTGATGGAAGAGATTTAACTTCTCAAGAGCAATTAGCAATTGACAATAAATAGTCAATCATTCTCAATTACTTATCAACAATGTCCACATCTCTTTAATGAATGAAAAGAAATGATCTAGTCAGGGCAGGAAAATGATGAATGGCCTGACTTGTTGAACTCTACCTTAATGTCCTTCTAACTCTAACCATCCTCACTCTTTCTTCTCTAACCTTCATCTGCACCTCATTCCTCATAGATGTGGCAGCTTCACCCATTCATCTCTCTCTCTTTCTCTCTCGAGGTACCTCCTCACTTCTCCATCTTAATCGTTAGCACTGATGTTCACCCTTATCTTAATGCAATAGCATGCACATCCTTCACAGTGATTCCCCCCAAAGTGCTGTCTTTCCATCCTCTCAAACATTGTATTTTTCACACTCGGGCCTCTTCCTTCTCCAAGAGACATCAGGACACCAAGAAAAAGCAGAAAAATAAAAATGGTCCTCCAGCCATCTCCACTTTTACTACTGCAGAGGAGAAAATGCTGGGATGAGCTGGGTCCTAGCATGTATGGCCATTGGTGATGAAGAAACGGGATTCTCAGCTACATGGTGACAGAATAAAACAGCAACAGTCACATGGAATATATCACTGATGTCTGTTAACTTGATGTCACCAGGTGATGAAAACTGATAGTATGCACAACAATGATTTAGGTTTAGTTCTTATCCACAGCTTTCAACTTGTTTATGTTTTTCAAGCATTCCTCAGAAGGTGGTGCTAGAGAAGGATATTAAAAAAACTTCATAAAGGAAAACAGTCAGAGTGCAAATCCTCCAACTGCCGGTGGAAGTGCCAGACAGTAGATATGTTGTCCTATGATGGAGCATACATCATATGTAAACAGAAGCGGGCATTGGGACAGATACAGCAGTGGAGAGTCCTTGTAGAGCATATGACCTTTCAAGCTCTGCTTTGCTGCATGCAAATGTTAAGCTTTGGTGGCTGTCAACAGAGAGAACAATTCTGTATCTATTTCCAGCTGCAACATACTCAATTAGAGAAATTAAAGGAAACTATCTCTTGCATGAAGTCTCAGGTCTTTACTCTAAGTGAACCCTAGCTGTCACTTATAGTCTGTGCATTGATTTACAATGTATATGATTTGTGAAGTGCACTGCCAGAAGGGTGTTACATTTTCCAGCCCTTTAGTGTATTGTATGGCTGAAAGGTCCCAGGCAATGACTTTTCCCCATTGCACCTCTGCCTATGCCTTAATGAGTCCCTCAGAATGTAATTCTGGACCTTGGAATATGCTGATTTGTAACACTCTGTCATGGACGACTTGCACTGGAAAACTAAAATGCCACCTTGAGCAAAGTTGAGGAAAACTTCAACATAGCTGTTCAGCACCTCACTGAGCTGCAAGAAAACATTTTTCACATCTAAGTTGGTATTATGTAGGTCATGTGGGGCCAGATAGAGAAAGGGTGCACTGAAATTTGAATCTGCTCAAATACACTTCTGATGCCATGTTTTCCACACTCCCTCCTACCCAGTCAAAATATTTACTTTGTGACTTGTCTTGACGGCTGATTCTGCCCTTACAGAAGTACAGGTGGGCAAACTTTGGCAG